GCAAATGCTAAAAAAACAAACGCAAAGGCATAAATGTTAGTAAAATAAATAAATAAATGACGAAAGGAAAAAAAGACATGGTTAAGGTAAAAATATCCTAGGTTTCGGAAATGTGGTTTCGGGGTAGGCTCTAATTCTCCATAGTCTCCCAGTTTAGGTTCTAAAAACGGTACCCGAGTTCTCCTTGCCGGTGCCCCTTTGGGCTTGCTCCTTAGTCCTAAACCCATCACAAGCTTGTGTGGACTAAGTTAAACTCGAGAGGACACATTTCCTTATGCCCGCACGGTGAATAAATTCACACGAAGACATAAGGTATATGAATCCCGAAGGCTACTTGCTAGGCCCGCACGGTGAATAAATTCACACGAAGGCGTCGCTTTCACCCCCACTTAAAATAAGGTTCAGAGCTCGGGTTTAGAGCCCTATATGAAAAATCTTTAAGGGCTGAAATCATTAAAAAATGGTCAGTACAACTATTTACTCGAAAATATAATCAAAAGTAAGTAATAAGGATCGAAATGTTACCTTAAAATTTAAACTTACCCTTTTCATTAAAAAGACAACTGGAAATTACCTTAGCCTGACTCACTTACCTGTGTCCCCAGCAAAGTCGCCAAGCTGTCGCAACCGTCTTTCGGTTGGGCCCCGGAATTGGGCTTCGACTTGAAAAATATGGATTGGAGTCGCCACCGATCATTTATTTAAAACAAATGGGTTGATTGGATACCCTATTTCTTACCTGATCTGCGTATTTCCAAAGATGTATCGAGTTCGGGAGTCAGTTACGGTCAAGGAAGGATTAGCACCCTTGAACCGTCCTTTCGGTACTACGTAATTTCCAGTTGTCTTTGATTAAGAAAATTGCAAGTTAAATTAAAAGGTAAAATTTGATCCGAATTAATTACCCTTAATAAGTTTACGAAAATACCCTTAAAAATAAGATTTAAAAAAAAATAATAATAAAAGAAAGTAACAAAACTAAAGAGTAAACCAAGGAAATAAATGAAACCAATAATAATAAACATAAAATAATTGGTTGAAAAAAATGAAATTGAATAAAATAAAATAAATGAAGATAAAATATATATACAAAAAGAATAAAAAAGGTAAAGTGTTTTTTTAAAAAAAGAAAAATAATAATAAAAGCAAAAAAACTAAAAATATAATGAAAAAAATAAATAGTATAAATAAAATAATAATAAAAATATATATATAAAAATATAAAAAATGTATGTATAATATAATAAAATACTAAATAGTAATAATAATAATAAATAAATGAAAAATAAATATACATATAATATTAACTAAAAAAATAGTAATCATAGGAATATAAAATAAAATAAAGTAAGAATATATATATATATATAACGTTAGAAAAATATAGTTAAAAAACATAGTAAATAAGTAAACATAGATAAAAAATAATAATATGATATATATATATATATATATAATAATAATAGAAAAATAATATAATATAACGCAAAGAAAAATGAAAAAAATTATAATAAATAAATAAATAAAATATAATTAAATATATTCATATATACATATAAATAATAAGGGTTAAATTAAAATAAAAAATGAATTAGGGGTCAAAATTAAAAGTCAATCGAAGAAAAAAACGACAAAACACGCGGATCCACACTACCCGTTTATAAAAATCTAAATAGTTTTTCAAAAACACAAGCCTCGGGGACTAGATCTACAAAAATAGATCTCGAAAACGCCCCGTTCATCGGCCAAAAACACTTCTCTCAGTTTTCTTTCGAAATCAAAACACAGCAAGGGTAAGGAAAAATAACATGCGAAGGTATGAACTTTACCTTTCAAAATATAAATGCTTTGAAAAATGGCTACGAGTTGCTTGTAATTTTTTGCTTGGTATTTCGTATATCCTCCTCCGAATGTGTTACAATAGTAAGTTACAATGACTATTTATAATTCTTGTGGATCCTATCTTTAGGAGTTTAAATAATAGTATAACTCTATCCTATTATTAGGAGTTTGAATCATAGCAAAATTCTATCTTATTTTTAGGAGTTTGAATCCTAGTAGGACGAAAAGATGTGTTGACAGTAAGCACATAAAAATTCGTGACACTCCGTCCTCGGATATTTTATTATCATAAATATTTAAAAAGACTTTTGTATGGTTTGTTCAAATTTTGCGTATGAACTCTGTAGAACGTGTTTGTGGGTTTTTTTTATGTGAAATATTAATTGATATAATATTCATTCCTTGCCAAGTTTAATAGTATCAAACTCATTGAATACTTCAGTAAGCACATAAAAATTCGTGACACTCCGTCCTCGGATATTTATTATCATAAATATTTAAAAAGACTTTTTTATGGTTTGTTCAATTTTGCGTATGAACTCTGTAGAACGTGTTTGTGGGTTTTTTTTATGTGAAATATTAATTGATATAATATTCATTCCTTGCCAAGTTTAATAGTATCAAACTCATTGAATACTTGGAATGTTTTGAAGATCTGTGCAAGTATGTAGCACTTCTCTAATTGATATTTTCATTTGATACATCTCCCTCAACTGTCATTTTAGGAACAAAAGTTACTCTCGTATATAATTTCCCCTCTGATATACATTGTATTCTTTCTGTTGATTAATTGTTTTATTTACAGAAAGAGGTTTAGCTTTTTAAAATTTGTTTATGTGTTATCAACTTTTAAACTAACAAAATGTCATTTTCAGACATTAAATATGCAAACTAAAGATAGCAAGAATCCAGTTTCTGTGGTAAGAACCTGTTACTATTTTGTTCAATTATTTTCTTTGTTCTTTCGCCTAACTCTCCCTTTTTTCCTTCCTTTTGTTTATGATTTACATGGGTGGGAAAATTGCTAATGCCATGGGAAAACAGCTAAGATCATGGTTTACCATTTTCCTTTTCTTTTGTTTATGGTTTACATGGATGGGAAAATTGCTATTGCCATGGGAAAACAACTAAGATCATGGTTTACCTCTTCCTTTTCTGGGGTTTTCTGCTAAATACATGGGCAATCTATAACATACTAGATTTGGATAGAAGTAACCTACCAGTGGATATGGGTGTAATGATTTGGACGAGTGTGTTTTATGTGAAGACGATGAAGGTTGATGATGATTAAGGTTAAGGAAGCAAAGAGGTCTCGAACGGTGGTTGAAGGTTACCAGAAATGATGGATAGTGAGATTGTAATGGGAGTCTAAAATAGCCCCTTTTCTCTAGTTTTTCCTTTTTCTTCTCTTCGTTTGGCCGACAATGGTAAGAACAGTAGTCGATAATGGTCAAAATAATGATTGGCGTGGTGGTCAAAATATAGGTTTGCTCAAGTTGAGGGGAGAAATGAAGAAAAAGAAAAAAATGAAAGAAAGTGGAGAAAAGAAAAGGATACATTCCCCTATGCATGTAAATGAATTGAACGCACACGAACGGAGGTATGTTCATGTTCGTTCATTTAATAAATAAACGAACATAAACGAACAATTTTTTTTTGTTCATGTTCGCTCATTAAGGAATATAACTTGTTCATGTTCGTTCATTTAATAAATAAATGAACATAAACGAATACGAACGTTGGAGATCCTACCTTCCATTGTTCTTTCATGAAAAATAGTCGACAATGCAAATCAACCAAATCTACAGTGATAAATAGTGTAAGAGCTTATTAACAATGATGAAATGTTTGAAGATATCATATATTTCGATCGATCTTTTAAAGATATTAAATGATTTATACGACTTTAATTTAATGATATAACATTTATCTTAGTAGCCCATGATTACATAAACAATCATTTTCCACTACGTTATTTTAATAAATTCGCCGGCTAAAAGTTTTGTGACATCAATGTCAGACTTTAGTGAGATTTGTTAATAATGGAAATGAATGTTCATTATCAAAGTGTATTTTCTACTTATTAATAGATTCTTCCTTGAAAACACATTACTTCCGCTATTACACTCTTTTTCAGAAATTGCATAGAAACATTTGTTTTGTTTTCTGAAAAATTCTATATATTTTTCTCTTTACTGATACTCATATACTTTCGATTGTTACCTTTATCTTCCCATCTATTTCTAAAACGAAATATGATGTTTTCTTGAGTTTTAGATGTGAAGATACACACAATAACTTTACATATCAACTATTAAGCCAAATAAAACAGAGAAAGAGATGAAAACATACTTGTAAAACTTTAGATTGTACTATAATATAACTTGTTTTGAAGCTTTTACCGATCGTCTCCACTCTTCAGTGAACACTAGGGTTTGGAAAAAAAAGGGGAAAAATGAATATAGATATGAGGTGCCTCACGGGTTAACATATTGGATTTAATCTCCAAATAAAATTGGGTTAATTATGGATTTTGTCATCAGAATATCAAATTAATTAATATTTTTAAGATACTTACAAATTGATCACCAAAATTGATTTAAGAAGATTGAGTTAAACACAAATGAACGAACATAACCAAACGTTCACAAACGTAAATGAACGAACGAGACATATGTTCGTGTTTGTTCATTTAATTAAACGAATACAAAATCTTATTCATGTTCGTTCATTTAATAAATAAACGCACCTAAACAAACTTCCCGCCACACGGTTCATGAACGGTTCGTTGAACGTTCAGTTCATTTACAGGCCGACCCCCTTTAAACATTAAAAAAATGTTTAACTATGCTACATCATAATACCATTACAAGGCTAGCGGAGTGATAAAAAAAATCAATCTATATAATTCAATGAATAATTTTTTTTAATTTACACCTTTTTTTATCAACGATTGATTGTTAGATTTGACTCTTTGACATTGCCACATACGAAGTGCTTCGTATTGTTTATGGATATTGGAGTTGAAATTTTATCATCCAAATCAGCACCTACTTAATATCACTTCCCCTGTACGCGTTTTTCTCTTCTCAAACAAAAAATAATTGCAAAGGTTCATAGCTGGTCTGGCATTTGAGACCGGCAGGACAATACTATAGTATCAAATTTGTGGGTCAAACCCTGATGAGATTGAAGGAAAAGAAAATGATTTGGAAAATTATAGAGTATGATACAACCTGAAAAGCCGACAAGACTGTTAACACCTCTTCCAGGTTTTCTATACAAACAGAATGGTAATGGCAACGGTATCAGCAGGCTGAGTGCTCGCAATCTAGCAACCGCGCAAGTATTTCCGCACAACCCGGCCGCTCTTCTGGCTCTGCCCAACAATCTGGTACCCAACCAACATTACCGTCCGAAATTAAATTAACCCCATTTATTATTACCATGAATCATTAAGAAATCTTGAACAGGCATCCCCATAAAATGTATGAAAACTCTGTACTTGTGTACCTGAAATTAGCCTGCCTATGGGACCTTCAGGAATCTCCAACCGTAACCCTTCATTTGCGACAGCGTAAACTACCTGAAATCCATATAGAAAAAAAATAACACATCGTCCAATTTTTGTAAATATATATAAAAGATAAATGATCTGAGAATGACCAAGTAAACAGCATACTGCATACCCTTTCTGGTGGTACACCTTCCCACGGCCTACTTAAAGTACAAAGCTCCCACATTATCACCCCAAGGCTAAAAATATCACATTTTTCAGTGAAAGGTTCATTGCGAATGAGCTCAGGAGCCATCCATTCAGGTGTTCCTGCGGAGGCGGATTCTTTCATAGGTATGCTGGTCATTATTCTGGATAGTCCAAAATCACATATCTTCACAATCCAGTGCTTATTCACAAGGCAATTTGCACTTTTCAAATCACGATGAACTATGTTTATCCGGTGCATACACATCAACCCCCTATATAAACAAGAGAAATATCCAGTCAGCATCACACTTTTATTTTACTTGAAAATGGGTATTCACACCCATAGCATCATGACACAGAAGTTACCTTAAATGACACTTTGTAATATACAAATACTTGTAGAAACAAAATAAATATCATGTCAACAGAAGCTATGTTCAATGACACTTTGTAATATAAGGTCATAGATAAGCTAACACATACCCAAAACTGTAAAAATTTAACTTACAACGTAACATTCATCTGATCCTACTAAGATAAACAGTAAAGATGTCAGACACTAACAAGTGCATACAGTAAAAATACCAAACACCATAACTCTGAAGTTCCTTTTCTGAAAGCTTTAATCATACAGATTCATATATATTTGAAAATGAACTGCTTTGCAACGACCTGAACAAAGCATGAGCACTCACATGTTTTATATTAAAGCCACATGTTGATGGTTATAAAAAAAGGAAGAAAAGTTATTCCTAAAACTTAAGGAAAGGCAGAGGTTGACACAAAAGAAATTACAGATACTCTGATTCCTCCCAAAAGGACCTACTGATGGACTCTAGGTGAAAATATAAAACATTTGAACAATATACTTAATTGCAGTATAGTCCTTTTTAAGGCAGAGAAAGATATGGACTTTCTAAATTGACGCACAGGCCTAACAAACCTGCAGATATCGCGCAACATTTTCAGTCTCCTCCGCCAGCTAAACCTCTTTTTCTGACCACTCATATGGATTAAAAAGTACAATGATCCTAGCTCCATGTATTCAGTAATCATAGACAACTGTGGTGGCTTTGTGCATGCACCCAGAAACAAGATAACTGCAAAAAGCAAAACTCCTTGGCTCATTAAATGATGAAACAAAGCAAACTTGCGGATGTTTCTTATGATGCTATAGGAAACTTGTATGCATGAGCTAGCTTACTAAAGGAACAAGGCCAGTGTTTATTTCATTTAGGTTAATTCATTTACTAAAGGCACAAGGTCAGTGTTTATTTCACTTAGGTTAATTCATTTACTAAAGGCACAAGGTCAGTGTTTATTTCACTTGGGTTACTTCATTTACTAAAGGCACAAGGCCAGTGTTTATTTCACTTGGGTTACTTCATTTTCCATTTGTTTTATTTCCAGTTGGACTACAAGGTGAGCAATACCAGACAAACATAAAATGTAAAACTTTAGAAAAGGTAGAAATGTACCATTGGTATGTCGAAGACGGCTGGAATTACAAACATGTAGAAACACAAAAAGTCGAAACAAGGATTGTTAGAGAGATATTTAAACAGGAAAACATTAATAACCTTGAAAATATGGACAAAAGGATACCTAAGAATGGATATTTCATTGCAGAAATCTTCCATGTTTTCTGCAGTAAGATCTTGCTCCAAAAACACCTTGATGGCAACATCTGTTCCGTTCCATACACCCCGGAAAACTTCTCCGAAAAACCCTGGACAATAAACACAACAAAGTGTTAGAAACACAACCTGCTCAGTGGGAGTTTTCTGGTGTCCAATTGCTAGGGGTACCTAACATTTAACCAGAGACAATTAAGCAGATGATTAAATGCGTCTTTTATTAGGAAACTCCCACTGAGCCTTATGAATACTTTAGACACATTTAATCAGTAACAGATCTTCCAAATCTAATTTTGTTGTCTAAGCATCAAATCGTTGTTACTATTCATTTTGTTATGTACTAGTTCCCCCCTCCCTCCCCCCCACCCCCACAAAAAAAAGGAAAGAAAGAAAGAAAGAATTAATAATAAATAAGAAATTTGCTCCTTTCCTCTTGGAAAGGGTCAATTATGAAGGGGTTTTTTAATGAGACCTCCTACTTTTATCAAAATAATAATAATAATAAAAAATAAGAAACCACAAATAATAATAATAATAACAACAACAATAATTTACGGAATTAATCTAAATGGAGAAGGCCAAGATAAGTTTCATAGCAAATATACTGCAGAAAGTTGAGAAGAGTGATTACCAATCCCAACACGAGTTCCAACGGTTAACTCGAAGAAATCAATATTCCAGTCAGGATACGGTAATAAAGGGTTATTGTTGAACATTGGAGATTTAAGAATTTTATTCCATGTTGCAACCATTTCATCATTTGCTACATAACCAGAAACTCCAATTCTTCCTGAACTTCGGCTCCTATACCCATGTGGAGACGATGGCAATGATATTGCTTTTTGAGAATCAATTTCATCTCCGGAAAGGTTATACAATGCAGAGCTCTCACCAGCATTTTTATTGTGGCCATCCGTATGGAAATTTGATACCTAAAAGAACAAGAAGAAGGTTTAAATGAACTAATAATTGCAAAAGGCAACCACATCCTCTCAAAAGGAACGCATGTTGCAGTTTTTTGTTTTAAGGCGCCTTGCCACTAAACAATGATTTTGGGTAGTTAAGAAAGAAAAGAAGAAAATAACAAAAGATAAGTGTAACTATCTGATGGCAATTTGGATATAATCTGCATAGTCTAGTTATATTGCAATCAATGCTTTTATCGAATATTTGCACAGCACAAATGGCCACAAAACAGAAAGTTACGACTAGGGAATAAAATGTTTGTAGGTTATGCAATAGATAAGTTAGTATTTTAATATAAAACTAACTCTTAGAAAGTTACATACATAAGGATAACTACTAAGTAGTTTACTTCTAATAGAAAACTTACTCCTAACTTTTCCTATAAAAAGATGTATTTTCACCATTCACAATATATAATAAAAAGAGTTCATTTTCTTCTCCACTATGTTGTTTACTCTTTATCAACATGGTATCAGGTAGGTGACCGATCCTTCACCTAAATCTAGCCGATTTTTTTTTCTTTTTACCCTAAATCTAGCCGTCGATCATGAATTCCACCACTTCTTCATCGGAGGTCACTTCGGAATTCCTCATTAATTCACCCCATTCTGATGTTTCTTCAGCCTCTATCACCTGTCACCGATTGAATGGTGACAATTATATCCCTCACTCTCAAACTACTACTCGGCCAAAGAAGGGGAGACCTTGGTGTGACTATTGTAAGAAGGTTGGCCATCTGCGGGATTCCTGTTGGAAATTACATGGCAAGCCTACTGATGGGAAGTCTTCAAAACAGCATCAACAACGTGATACTCAAGAAAACCGTGTTGTGAATACTGATTTACAAGGAAGTTCGTTTACTAAAAAAAAAATGGAAGAGTTGCAGCAGTTTTTTAGTCAGTTAAACACTCATTCCCAATCAGTACCTGCAGGTAGAATTCCTTCTGCTACTTTGGCTAATACATCCACCACTACTACTTGGGTTGTGGATTTTGGTGCAAGTGATCATATGACAGGTGATCTTCGGCTCTTTCACACTTTTCATGCCGACTCGTCTATCTCTCACATTCGAACAGCTGATGATTCTCTATCCGGTGTTGCCGGTCATGGGTCTATTCGAATAAATCAGGACATTTTGTTATCTCATGTTCTTTATGTTCCCAATCTCACTTGCAATCTTATCTCCATTAGCAAGTTGTCTGCCGATTTATGTTGTATCACGAAATTTAACTATGATTTTTGTGAATTTCAGAATTCTAGCTCGGGGAAAGTGATTGGCAGTGCTAGGCTTTGTGGGGGTCTTTACCTACTTCCAGCAACTTTATTTTCCCACCCATCTACTTCCTACCATGTTATACAACAATTTCCTTTACTTGAACCTTCAACTGATGTTATGTTATTGCATTTTCGTTTAGGACATCCCAGTTTTTTTTTATCTTGCAAAATTGTTTCCACATTTGTTTGTCAATAAGAGTCCAAAATCTTTTTCTTGTGATATTTGTCCACTTGTTGAACAAACTAGGAGTGTTTATCTACCTTCTCCATATAAACCGTCAAAACCATTTACCATGATCCATAGTGATATTTGGGGACCATCTCGGGTCGCATCTTTACATGGGTTTCGGTAGTTTATTTCATTTATTGATGATCACACTTGTACTATCTGGACCTTTCTCATGAAAACCAAATCTGAAGCTTGTGAAATATTTAAACGGTTCCATAAGATAGTTGAAACCCAATTTCAGTGTTCAATCCAAATGTTTCATTCTGACAATGGTAGTGAGTATTTTGCCAATGTTTTGGGTTCTTTCTTTCAGGAAACCAGGATTATTCATCTTACTTCGTGTGTTAATTCTCCTCAACAAAATGGGATTGTTGAGCGAAAAAATACGCATCTTCTTGAGGTTACTCGTTCTCTACTTTTTTCTACAAATGTTCCTAACTATTTTTGGGGGGAAGCCCTTTTAACTGCCACTTATTTGATTAACTGTCTCCCTAGTAAACCGTTACAATTTAAGTGTCCGAGAAATGTTTTTCTTCAGTTTTTTCCCAATTTTAAACCGATGACTTCATTGTTACCCCTTAGAGTTTTTGGTTGTACTGTGTTCGTTCATAACAATGTTCCTTTCAGGTCCAAATTAGATCCTCGAGCATTTCGATGTGTGTTTCTAGGTTATTCATCGACTCAAAAGGGCTTTCGATGTTATTATCCTCGTACAAAGAAATATTTTATTACTATGGACGTTACTTTCTTTGAAAAAACACCTTTTTTTTCCTTAAAACTGCTATTCAGGGGGAGTCATATAATGAATATCAGTTTATTGACTCACAACAATTGTCACTTGATTTGCATCCAGCACTTTTTGATCAACCAGCACCGTCAAACCAGTTAAACTAGTCGAATAAGCCTACAAAATTGCTACAGCCAGACCAAACAACACTACCGAACCCAGAAAACGTATCCTTGCCAAACCAGTCCATCGAAACACATTTACCTCGGCATGATCAACATATCACTTCGCCTCAAATACCTCAATCCGAGTTACAGATTTACAAGAGACGACAAAAACCAATTTCTAAATCAATCCCTGAACCTAATCCCGAATCTCCCACACAGCATGGACACTGTCATGAACCGGAACCGAATGAGAATCCTTTGGAGAATGAAGAAGGTAATCAGAGTTCTTCCACTGAATTAAATGCTTTAATTGATGATAATGACTTGTCGATTGCTCAAAGGAAAGGAGTAAGAAAATGCAGAAATTATCCAATTGAGAGATTTGTTGCATATGGAAAGCTAACGCCTTGTTTTAAGAACTTTACAGCAAGTGTAGATAGCATTACTGTTCCAGAAACGGTGGAAGAAGCATTGAAAGATCCCAAGTGGAAAAAGACAGTAGAAGAGGAATTAAAAGCACTGGAAAACAACAATACTTGGATTATAGTTGATCTTCCGAAAGATAAAAAATCAGTCGGCTGCAAATGGGTATTCATGGTAAAATACAAAGCTGATGGTAGCATTGAAAGATATAAGGCGAGATTAGTGGCGAAAGGATTCACTCAATCTTTTGGAGTTGATTATCATGAAACGTTTACTCCGGTAGCAAAACTAAACACTATGAGAGTGTTACTGTCATTAGCAGTTAATGAGAATTGGGTGCTTCATCAGTTAGACATCAAAAACGTATTTCTAAACGGAAACTTGGAGGAAGTATATATGCGAATTCCACCGGGTGTGAAGAGTAATGCAGGAAAAGCATGTAGGTTACTAAAGTCCTTGTATGGACTTAAGCAATCTCCAAGAGCCTAGTTTGACAGATTTACAAAGGTGATTATTCAGGATGGTTACAATCAATGCCAATCAGATCACACTTTATTTGTCAAAACATCTTCAAACAACAAAAATGCAATTTTGATTGTCTATGTGGATGATATCATTCTAACAGGTGATGATTGTATGGAGATAGAAAGATTGAAAAAGCTACTGGCGAAGGAGTTCGAAACAAAAGACTTGGGAACTTTACGGTATTTTTTAGGCATGGAGGTTGCAAGGTCAAAAGAAGGAATAGTGATCAACCAAAGGAAATATATCCTTGATCTACTATCAGAAACTGGAAAAAAGGGATGTAAGCCGGCTGAAACACCCATGGAAGCAAATTTGAAGCTAAGGAGAGAAGAATTGGGAAGTCCTGTGAACAAAGAACAGTATCAAAGGCTAGTAGGTAAACTAATTTATTTATCACTTACTAGACCTGATATTGTGTTCCTTGTCAGTATAGTGAGTCAATATATGAATGATCCAAGAGAATAACATTTAGAGGCTGTGAATAGAATTATAATTTACTTGAAAATGACACCAGGACATGGATTAATTTTTAGAAAGAGTGATGATAGAACAGTAAGAATTTTTTTGGATTCAAGCTGGGCAGGTGAATTAACGGATAGAAGATCTACAACAGGTTATTGTTCATTTGTTTGGGGAAATCTGGTTACTTGGAGAAGTAAAAAACAGGTGGTGGTGTCTCGAAGTAGTGCAGAAGCAGAATTTATAGCAATGGCACTTGGAATTTGCGAAGGAATTTGGCTTCAAAGAATGTTAACTGAGCTGGGGTTATGTGCCAAAAAATGGTTTGAACTTCAAAGTGACAGTAAATCTGCAATAAGTATTGCAAAGAATCCAGTTCATCATGACCGAACGAAACATGTGGAGATTGACAGACATTTCATCTCTGAAAAGGTGAATGGTGGAACGGTGAAGCTCAATTATTTTTAACGAAGAATCAGTTAGCAGATATTCTCACCAAAGCACTTCCAAGAATTACCTTTGATGAGATTATATCCAAGTTGGGTCTTTTCAACTTTTACTCCCCAACTTGAGGGGGAGTGTAGGTTATGCAATAGATAAGTTAGTATTTTAATATAACACTAACTCTTAGAAAGTTAGATACATAAGGATAACTACTAAGTAGTTTACTTCTAATAGAAAACTTACTCCTAACTTTTCCTATAAAAAGATGTATTTTCACCATTCACAATATATAATAAAAAGAGTTTCTTTTCTTCTCCACTATGTTGTTTACTCTTTATCAACAATGTTTGCAATAAGTAAAAGTTTCATATGCTGATGTCCTAACTTTATAAACATTAGAAACAGATACGAAACAAACATAAATCAGGTACATATCAGAACAATCATCAAAATTTGATTCAAAACAAAACCAAAGTAGCAATTATCTTGTGACACTCGTATTATACCCATAAAACAAAATCTCCTGAAATGATTCGCAGTTGTGCTAAATAAATTGAACTGTATAGACGTAAACAGAGAGGCAGGTTTGCCTTCTTAAAGGGCTACGGAGAAAGACTTGCAAGAGTGCAGAACACCCTACCATGATAATTTTTGTAAAAGAAACATACATTTTTCTGAAGATCTGGACATTCATTCCTATCAGCTGAAGAATGGGATAAAGACCTATCTTCCCTGTGCTCTTGCGAAAGACGATTTTGTTTCAACGTTTCATTCATAGCTCTTACAGCCCTGAAACAAGTCAGACATAATACAAGATAAATCACCAGTCACAACATAACAGAATGCATGCCACCCCACAAAAAAATCCAAAAATATCAGAAAATATGCATCAAAATACTCATTCAGGTAACACTAAGGAGAAAACAGATAAATATAGGCATCACGTGGTATACTTGATCAAAATATATTATTGGACTGAAACCTAAAAGGCTACTAAGGTAAACTACTAGACAAGGTAATTTTAAACATTAATGATTCGATGTAATAACTAAAATTCACATGGACAAAAGCAAGAAGCCAACTTCATATGCAGCCTGTAAGACGGAAGCTTTTATGCTTCATTTGTAATTGTAGGTAGGTACACTAGGTTTTAACCCAAGCTCTCATGTCACACAAGCCTCTTGCTACTACAACAAGGGGTTGCTCGCAAGGATAATGATGATTTTAAAAGAATAAACTAGATCTTTCATTCCGTTACATTGGGTTCAAACCGAAGAAAATAGTTGATGCTATTGTCAAATTAACATCTTCTAGATAAAGAAAGAAACTGAAGGAGTAAAAAGGAAAAAGATTAGAGTCTGTTTAGAAAATCTTTTTCCCTTCTACGTATCCAGTTTTACCCAAGAAATAATATCAAATAAGGGTAATAACCAAATTTGAAAATCCTTATTTCCCAATTTTCTGCATAATTCAACCACACCGGGAAACTAATGTTCCAATCTTCCAAATTTAGTTATTTACCTGAACTTTTCCATAAATGATCATATTTAGAGTGTAAAAGTGAATAGAAAGCAAAAACATTTTCTAAAGCCACAGGAGCACTAAGGAACAAAGGTTTATGACAAGAGAGCAAACACGAAAGCATGAAAAAAAACGAATCCAAGTACATAGCATCAAATTGGTTGAATATTTTCAACTGCTCAAAAGTTGAAGAACCACCTGTGTAACTGGCATAACTATAAATAAAATGCTAGCAAGAGAGTAAAGATTTTGCATATTAAAATAGCAAGTATGGTAGCTGGTTCAGAGCAAAAACGAATGGATCAAAACATGCTCTCTTGGAACAGGTCAACCAGGTTACAACTATGATTGGGCCTAGGACCCATCAGCCGAAACTTTTGAATTTCTGCAACCTAAACCTGCATACTCTCCCATTTTGTTTCTCCCAAAATTCTGAAATTCTGACACCCCTCCTTTAATACCTTTCCCATCTTTGCTAAACATTGGAAAGTGTTTTTCCCCACCAACTCCAACCAAACCCGTAGAAGCCCCATGGTCAAACCACGTGTCTACCTTTTGTCTGCAATCCTCTGCTGACCGATCTGCACTTTCCTCACTGTCTAACATCCCCCTTCATCTTCTTCCCAATTTGTCTTCCATCGGAACCAACCACCGACGGTTTACTAGGAAAGTACTTCAAATTCTCATACATCGATCCCAGCTTAATACTAACTTTGAATAACCTTCCATAAGATCCAAGAGTGATCACCTCCGGGACATCATAAGGGCTGGCCACCCTAATCAGAACCCTCGCCGTCGATAGGTCCTCCTTGTTTTTTGTAGCATAATGTATGTCTTCCACCGTCCCCCATCTCCCTGCTAACTGTTCCAAAAAGGAATTCCTCCAGCATAAAAGAGGGACCCCATATAACTCTACCAGACAAAAAGCCATTGGAATACCATCTTCATTCAACAAGGGTGCCAACCGGTCAAACCAGAAATCTAATTCATCTTTTTTCTCCGACCAAGCCTCCATCATCTCCTCAGTCGATTTGAAGGTTACTGCACAGGAATTCCAAACATATCCCCATCTAGCAATCTGAACTTCATATCCTTCATTAGCTAAAGCCTTCTGAACCAACTCTAGCTCGAAAGAATGTTTAATGATCCCGTTAATGATCTTTTGACCCAACTTGAACTCTCAGAAGGAATGTGCATTTCCCAAATGTTTTTCTTACCTTTCCCTTTGTCAAGGCTACCATTTGTCATCTCCTTCTGATCCGATACGCTTCTCTTCATTCTGTTCGATAGTAAAGCATCCTTATAAGATCTTTCGTCCCTTAAACTCCTCATATCAACTTCCTTCTTTGACTTTGAAGATCCTTCTAAATTCGACTTTGAAGCTATAATTAGAGATCATTTCTTCCCCGCTGTCCTTGGATGAACTTCCTTGTATTTTGCAGCTCCAACTATGATTCTTCTCCCATCTATCCACGAGCCATTTAAGTTATCTATTGTCCTTTTCAAACCTTCCTCATTACCGAATTGCACAAACGCGAATGTAGTAAATTTGTATTTTGGATTCCTTGTTTCGCTGGGAATGAAAACTCTCTCTACATGACCCTGGAAGAGAAACATTTCTCTTAACGCTCTCCTTAAAACTCTCTTACTTAGATTATCGACAAACACAATCCAGACTTCATCGGAAAATGACTTTCCTTACAACTTTTCTCTCTCTACGTCACTATCTATCTCACTCATGACTTCTCTTGCCTTATACCTCAAGTTTTATTAAGATAAACTAATTATAACATTATCCTCCCATTGACAATATCCTTAACTAGTTATGAAAAAACTAAAGGACACAATATTGGTTCTTAATCCATTTAACTGCATTCACTAAGTCGGACTCAACAATTAGCCTACCCTTGCCACACCACTCTGAATCCTCAAACAAAGCTAAACCAGCTCGGATGGCCTTCAATTCAGCTAAAATAAGGGGACATGAACCAGCTGAAGTCGAAAAAGAGCCCAAAACCTTGCCCTCTTCAGTTCGTAGTATTCCCCTAATACCGCTGCTTTCCCAATCTCTTTGTATTGTCCCATCCACATTAATTTTAAAGAAACCCGTGGGAGTGGGACTCCACAAAACCGGTGATGTATTAGTTTGCATGGACGGGGTTGCTCGAATCAGCCAACTTCAGGTCGCCAACAAGGTAATCAAAGAGAACTGGAAAATTAGGATATTTCGCCGAAAACTTCCAAATTATAGACTTTGGAGCAAGACTTTCCCAAGACGATAAGAAGACGTTAGGATGCTCTGGAAGGACCATAAATTCCACAATCTTAAGAAACACCCCTAAAGACCCAAAGCAATCGAGCACGAAAAGAATAGGTGAGATACCGTCTATTGATGCACACCACATAGCGGGCATAAAGTATTCTCTATCCCACTAACACCACGCTTAAAAAATTCCAATTTAACCGCCACTTTTTGATGCAAGACCTACCACATAAACGCCTCCACTCTTGGAGTAGCATAACCTATCCAAACCGTTTTCGACCAAATCGGATCTTCAGCAGACCCTTCTGACATTAACCTAACACGTGATTTAACCGAATAAACACCTTCCCCATTCCCCGTCCAAACACATTGATCATCCGCATCAACCCGAATACTAGCATTACCTAGTAACGATAGTAGTTCCATCCACTTCCCAGTCCAATAAATTTCTTCGAAATTGTATATCCCAACACCAAACCCCATTATTATAAAAACCAAACTCGGATATTTTCCCTTCTTTATTAATGGATAGAGAGAACAATCTCGGAAAATTCAATCTAAGAGATATATTGCAAATCCACCTATCAGACCAAAATAGAAAATCATTCCCCTTCCCAACTCGTAAATGGATATGATTCCTGAAACATTGACCAAAAGCATCATTCGCCTAGCAACTATTAACCACTCCTCTCCAAATCCAAGATGACTTATAGGAGACCCCATTGTCCATCAAACTTAGTTTGTTATCCAAGTTATATTTTCAACAAACCACTTCCTTCCACCAAGACTCTTTTTCCGTAGCAAACTTCCATGCCCATTTCCCCAAGAGAGCCATATTCATAGAGTTTAAATCAATTATACCTAGATCCCTTGACCCTTGGGTCTACAACACAATCTGTCAATTCACCCAATGGATCCGGTTCTTTTAAGATGAACCACCCCATAAAAAGTTTGCCATGATAGAATTTAGTTTCCTCAGGATCTTATTCGACATTCTAAACAACGATATAAAATAAATTGGCAATGTGCTTAAGACCGACTTCACCAACACGACCCTCCTTGCCAAAGAAAGAGTATTCGCTTTCCAACCCGTTAATTTCTTGTGACATCTCTGAATTATTGGTTCCCATAGCGTAACCGAGTTTTTCGGTGAACCTAGGGAAGACCAAGGTACTATGTTGGGAAGCTTCCAACCGAGCATCCAATCGAATATGCCCACGTTTTGATGCAAGGATCCTCAACATTTATACCAAAAATTCTGCTCTTAGACAAATTTAGTTGAAGCCCCAAACACAATTAAAAAATAGTCAGTACTCTCTTCACATTCTTTAATTGCACTTCTGATGCACCACAGAAAATTAACAGATCATTGGCGAACTACCAATGAGACAACATAAAGGCCATATTCGTGCTTCCTATCTGAAACCCACTGAAAAGACCCATCTTCACTGCCTTAGTCAACATCAAACTTAGCATTTCACCCACCAGATTAAGCAACAAATTCGACCGATCTGTTGAATCATAAGCTCTCCTAAAGCCCACTTGGAAGGCAACACCTCACAAACCTTTTCTTCTCCAAAAATCAATCCCTTCATTTGCTACAAATGAACAGTCCAGAATCTGCCTCCCTGGTACAAATGCAAATTAAGTCGGGCCTATAAGAGAATCTATGCAAGTCCTCAGTCTTCTAAAAAGGACCTTCGACAGAATTTTGTAGAGACCACCTACTAAACTAATATGTTATCAATTTGACTTTTTGATACCCACTATCAATGAACTTCTGTTAAATTCGAATGTACAATTGATAACATATTCAAATTTAACAGAAGTCAATTAATAGTGTCATCAACTAGACTTCAATATTTAAATCAAACAAGTAGAGGGACTACATTTTAAAAATCTAAAGAGTACAGCAACTGAGGGCAAAATTAAACCTTATATTATTTGATCAAATGGATACTTCCTTTTCTTTTTTCTCTTCTACGTGTTGGAGAAAAAAAAAGGG